GTAGGAAATTAAAAAGAATAAATGGAAACCTCTTAGCCAGGACCTGGCCCACAGAAGGGACCAAAATCACAGCAGTTCCCCTTTTCATTCCAACATTACAAGGTGACAAACTCAGTTTCCAACAGGAAATAGATGAAGCACAAAGCTGGCCAAATCTCCCCGATAAATATAATTCTTCTATTCAACAAAAACTCTCCAGAAATAGCAGTTTGACTTTTACTGTCCAGTTATAGATTATTCTACCAGGAGAAAATTCAAGCCAGATATTAGGGGAAGAATTTGCTGTGCAAGTTGGTTGGGGAGATATTTGGGAGCACATAGGAGATTATGTATGTTAAAACTGCACAATAGCTATGAATAGTCCCAGTTTGAGTGAATATCTACAGCAGCCTTTTAAACATGAAAAGCCAGAAAGCTTCTTTTTATTACTCTGGTGATTGGCCAACAGAAAGAAAGAGGGTACAAGAGAAGATCCATGTTCAATGTCATCTACTGCACACAATTTCTAAACACTCCCATTTTAGAATTTTACGACAACTGAAAAAAGCAAAAACTAAAAATCATTTGTACCTTATCATAAATTGTCTAATCACATAACTTCCCTTGTTAATACTCTAATCAGAACTGAAGGATTATAGGTTTTGGTCCAGTAAAAGGAGTTGAGATAGGAACATGGTTAGACTTGCGTAGGACACTAATTTTTTTGGTACCAGAGATTGAACTCAGGTCCTTGCGCTTGTGAGGCAGGTGGCGGAACCACTGAGCTAAATGCCTGGCCAGGACACTAATTTTTTTTGGACAGGTAAGTTAGGTAATAGAAGGACCTAAAAAAGCAGGGGAAATAGAATGGAGAAGGCAAAAAATAACAAAGTTATAAAGCTATATAGAGTCAACTATAACTTCATTTTCATACTTGGTCACCAAGAAAATGTCATCAATAAAAATGACAGGCCACCATCAATGTGACCCCAGTGAGGCTGTAATCTATATGTAACACATGTAAAACGTCCTGAGTGCTAAGGGAACAGAGGGCTGCATAATGGGCTGAAGGCAGAATTTCACCTCAAGACCTTTTGTTTCTTGGAAGTTTTCTCTTTATGTTATTATTTTATAAGCATCTTCATTATTCAGTTACTTAGATTACTCCATTGCTAGTCATTATTGTCAACTGATTTTCTCCACAACTACTATAAAGATACTGTATGGAGATACCTCAAAGAACTAGGACTGGAAGTTCCATTTGACCCCACTATTCCACTGCTGGGGATCTTCCCCAAAGAATTAAAAGAATCATACCACAGTGATATATGTGCACCCATGTTCATAGCAGCGCAGTTTCTAATAGCTAAAATTTGGAAACAGCCCAAATGTCCATCAACTGGAGACTGGATCAAGAAAATGTGGTTTTTTTATAAAATGGAGTACTACTCAGCCATAAAAAATGAGAAATTAGAGACATTTATAGCTAAGTGGATGCACATTGAGGCAATACTCTTAAGTGAAATAAATAGGACACACATGTGTAAATACTGAATAGTTTCTCTAGTGTGAGAAACTGAAAGTGTAAATAAGGGCTAAATGTATAATAGGTAATGTGAAATAGGAAGAAAAGGGGCAAAGAGGAAGGAAGTGGGAGGGCTAGGGGAAAGGATAGAAGGGAATGGGATTAATATGAGAAAATGGAAAAATAGGAACAAAATCTTTGTAAATAGGGAGGATTGGAGGGGTTGAAGGGAGGGCTGGGCAAGGGTGAAAAATAAGAACCAAGAGAGACTATGTAAAGGTGCAAATTTCCAATGATGAATGTCATTATATTGTGTACCTAAAATGTACCAATTATTAGAATGAATAATTGATAATGTAAAATAGGAAGAAAAGGTCCAAAGGGGTAGGGGTAGTGGGAGGGGCAGGGGAAAGGAAAGAAGGGAAAGGAAAAAATGATGAGAAATGGAAAAAATGGAAATAAAGTCTTTGTAAATAGGGAAGGGTGGAGGGCGTGAAGGGAGGGCTAGGAATGGGGAAAAAATAAGAACCAAGATGCATTATGTAAAGGTACAATTCCCAATGAAAAAAAAAAAAAAGATACTGTTATAAAACATAAATCTCCAGAGCACTCATTTTGTAGTGGTGCCAATGGTTCTACATGCAGATAATGTTTAGTGTCTACCCAACTTATAAATAATATCACTGTCATTTTTGTGGCAGAAAATTCTTCAAGCCAGTGATTCTCTAACAAAGAAAGGCTCACCCAGTTAACCAGTGCTATCATTCTAGTGCCTTATTCATTTTCCTACTTTATCCTGTCATGTCTAGGACAAGCAGTTATTCTGCTGCTGGCTCCTAGAACATAGCTACCAAAAAGCAGATCCATTCCATCATGAACAAACTCTCTTCGTCTTCAGACTCTTAAAAATTCTCCCTCAACCTCCTTATCTTGATTAACCGCTAGTTTACCTTGTAGGATACTACTTCCTCTCCAGATGTTCTTTGTATAAATCACAGAACCAAAAGAGACTCTCTAGGCCTTTACTATTTTTAAGCAACTGATCTTTCACACTCTGAAAAAACCCCTCCCTCCTGAAGATCACTTTTATCAACCCTGCCTTTCCTGTATCTTTCAAGTACCTTTCCTACAGCATGTGTTTTGTTTCTAAGCATCTGGTTCCTAGGTTTTATCTCTAACCTACCAGTCAGTAACCCTTGTGAGTTAAAAGTCCATGTAGCAATGTGCTCAATCTTTTCAATACCTGCAATCACTTGCCTCACTGTTTCAATCACATTCACTCATGACAAACTATAGTTATTGTCATTGTCTGTAACTGCCTCATGGTAATGACAACTCTACATTTTTCTATTCCTTTGAGCCCTCAAGTCTCATGATCTCATTTGGTAACCCTTTATTCACTTCACTACCTTTCCTAGATTGGGTCCCCTGTCAATTATAGAAGGCCTCGCCAACATCTTGAGCACACTTTAGAGGACCTATAAACCCAGAGCCTAGCATGGATTTTATAATTTATCTTCACTGCTTGTGTATCTAAGCTGATGAGTTCTGTTGGGGTTGTGAATGGGGGGAATCGAAGCATGCAGATTTTGTATCACTAAAGACTTCTTTTGAAATTAGCTGGTTGTGATTTAGCTCAGTGCCACTGTACCTGCCTGGCAAGTGCAAGGTCCTAAGTTTGATTCCCAATAGTGGGAAAAAAAGAAATTAGCTGGGCCTTCCTTGACTGTTCTTGTCAACTCCTTTCTCCTTCCCTGATGATGTTTTCAAAAGTTTGCTGAACTTCTGAAGGCCCTGAACCACCACCTCTATCCATTTTCTGCTGAGTGAATGATTCTCTCTCCTACTTCCTTGAGAAAAAAAAAGGGCTATCTTGGCATGAATCCTTTCCAAATTGCTCATCCCCTTCATCCCACTTTAAAAAAAACTTTAGCATTTCCTCCTTCCCCAAGTCTCAAAACCACTTCCTCCCACATGCACACACACCCTGTAACAAGTCTTATGCAGAAAGATGCCCAGTCAACAACTATCAGCAAGTTAGCTGTTTTCACCTTCCCACTGACACACTAGACATACACATCCCAGCTGTGAAATGCAATCAGATTGCATATTTAAACTTTACCTTATTTTATTTTTCCGTTCCATCTTACACATTTGGCTAGTTTTTTTGTTTTGTTTTGTTTTTTTGGTACCGGGGATAGAACTCAGGACCTTGCGCTTGCAGGGAAGGCACTGGAACCACTGAGCTAAATCCCCCACCCTGGCTATTCTTTTTTAATACTTTTGCTCAGTTGTCCTAAGGGCTTCTCCTTGCTCTTTCATGTCTCCTAAATGTGGATCACTGAAGTTCTCAGCTTCTTTCTCTTTTCCATTCCTCTCTGCAAGTGAGCTTATATAGTCTCATAATTTTAACTACCATATCCAACACTCAGAATTATGGAACCTTTATCATGCCCAAACTCCTCCATTAACTTTGGATAATATTATCCAAATGACCAATAAAGATGTGCACTTAAGTGTTACAAAGTCACCATAAACTGAACAGATGGAAAACTGCACTCCTTCATGCTCTTTCACTCGATTTCCTGCAGTATATGGTGGTGCCATCATCTACTCAAGCTCTCTCTCCTTCCATTCTTTACATTCTTGATCCCTAACTTCTCTCACTGAGTTTTATTAGATTTACCTCTTTAATATTCTAATGGTCATTTCTTTCTCAGTCCAAGATCCTTTAAATACTGCAGTCCCCTTCCACTACTTTCCTGGATCCAGTTTCCAATCCACTGTCCCCCTACAAATACACATTGCATAAAATATTATCCTCCCACACTGTTTCACAAGTGATTTTCTAAACTGGAAGTTTGATAATATTATGATAAATATTAAAATCCTTCTCTAGCTCCTCATTATCAAAAACTAAAGTTGAAATTTCTTACCACAGCATTTAAAATCCTTTATGACTGACCCCAGCCTCCCTGATTCTCATATTTTACCTCACACTCTGTTCTCCACAACACCACTCCTATACCATCCATATGAGACAACTGATGGAATTCTCACATTGTATTATCTTTTTCATGTGCATCCTTCCTAGTAAACTTTGAGCTCTCTGAAGATAGAAACCATGTCTTGCTTTTATCTATGCCCTAATGACCTGGAACTCACAAGAAATTTAATGAATGTTGGCTAATGATAGACCATATCTTGAAAATAAATGTCTTTCCCAAACCATTTTCCCATGTTTAATTAAAAATATCTTTCTAGGAAGACTATGATTTTCATCACATTTTTTAGCCACAAATGTATGCTTCCAATTACTGGTACATTTCTCTCCCTTTTCTGACAGAAAAATAGAGGAGGCAGAGAGGCTTCTGAATTGAAAATAACTTTACAATAAAGAGACAAGTAGCTCTAATGTAGTATGAGACCTTTTTTTAAGGTCTCCATTATGTATATTAGACTTTGACCAACTGGCTGAAGGACAAAGTGTACATACCTTCCACGCAGCGACAGCCCTCTTGTAGCACCCGGGCGTACATATTCACTTTGGACTGAGAAAGGAGCTGATCCCCAGTCAGGTACGTGTTGTGAGAGGAAGCGATGTAGTAGTTGCAGAGGGGCTGATCCATGTCCTGATACACTTCGTGGTGCAGGGGGTTAAATATGTCACAAGCAGGACTGCGCATGAAGTTTGTGAAGCCTTTGGAAGGAGAGAAGTAAGTGCTGTAGCTCTCAAGGTGTATCTACTTAATTGACACTATCAGAGACAAAGAAGTCAAAGAATATTCATAGTAATCAGGGCAGCTTTTGTGGGAAAAACTGGGGCAATGAGAAATTTACTTGAAATCATACAGTTTTTGAATATCAAAAACTGAAATATGACTTTGGGAAGTAGCCACTTAAACACAATCTAGAGAAAAATAAAATGACTTTTTAAGAATTTTGACTGGGTGGGGCAGTTCACTGCAAAGTATTTACTAACTACTAAACTCAAGCTCTGATGATGTAGTACAACTTAATAGATGACCAATACTGTATCAGAATTAGTATATTTATATCAACTGATCAGCCAAAATTGATAGGTCATTAAGTTGACTTGAAAAACAATAGTCAATGCAATAAAGTAGTATGTCAAAAAAGATAAATATTACCTAAATTCAAGGTGAGATCATTGACTGTGAAATTGGTTTGGGAAAATCCCGTTAATGGCTAGTACACTTTATAATTTTGAAATAGTAAAGATGCTGTAGAATATCCTATTAATTTTTCTACAACCTTTCAAAATGTAAAGTTAGAAGAGGCATTCATTAATACATGAATAAATACATAAATGATTCAGAAGTACCTAAGTAGAATGATTATTAAGGTAAATTGTTTCAAGTCTTTGAAAATCACTTGGCAAAGTTAGATCTGTGACTATCCTGAGACTTAAGAATTTTTTCATACCTATCTTTATGTCTGCAATTTAGGGACCATCTCTGGGGATCCAACCAAGAGAAAAACTCATTTCTCATTACAGAAAAGTCCTAAATTAGTTTATCCTCTCTGTTTTAAAAATGGTTTCTAATGATAGAAGTTTTAAATTATTTTGCTTTGTTTTTATTACCCTCTACCCCTGGACATAAACACAAGACATTAAAAACCCTTATTGATCCAAGTATGGTAGCATGTGCTTAATCGAAGCACTGTGGGGGCAGCCTGGACAATACAGTCACATCCTCTTAAAAAAAATAAACAAAAATGAAAAACTCTTTGTCCACACTGATCCTAGGAGTGGGATAAAAATAGGAAGCCAACAATCAAAATGGTCCAATCAAACATGGCTTTAGATGGTTTGGGGCAACTGAGTTCCCAGTGATCTTTGATTTAAAATTATCTGTTCTGCTTGGGACAGCCTCTTCTTGGGTTGTCTTCCTGTATATGTTAAATGTACTGTATTTAACTTAAATGTACTGTATATAACATAACATAGCTATATTTATACTGTATTATTTATGGATAACATGCTAGGAACAAAATTCTGAGTGTACAACCATGAGTAAATTATTTATTTTCTTCCAGTTTCACTTTCCTCAACTCTAAAATGAGGTAGTTGTGTTAATAAGATTTGTGGTTCCAACAGCTTTATAATGTTACTAATTGCATAGGAAAAACAAGTCAGTTGTTAACATTTTGTAAAGAAATATGTTTATTTTCAAATCACTAGATTTGAAGATTACTTATTTTAGGATCAAATTTCCCTCCATAAAATCATTAAGATGAGACTATTTCCAAAATTTAGTGAGTTGAGAAAAATGCAAGTATTTCTTGATATCAATCATACATAGTGATATCAAGTGGACTTGTTTGAAGTGAAAAATGCTCACGGACATTGCAAAAGTAAGAGAAATGTAGGGCCGGGGATTTAGCTCAGTGGTTTCGCTGCCTGCTGTGCAAGCTCAAGGACCCGAGTTCGATCCCCGGTACCAAAAAAAAAAGTAAGAGAAATGTCAATATCAGAGCACTGCTTTGGAAAAACTATGTCCTCTGTTGGTTTTATTTAAATTGTCTTTAATTCCATGAATATCTCCTGGTTTCCTAAAACTTTTACTGGAATTAGACTTAGCAGACTGAATTTTTAAAATGGGAAAATAAAACTATTAGTTTTTAAAAAATGATTATTTTACCTTCTATTCCAAGGACATTTTTCACCTTATTTTCTTCTGAGACTTCAAACTTCTTTATTATGTCAAGACAATAGTCTGCTGTCACATTACTCATCTAAAGAAAAAGAACATGAGTAGAGTACCTGCAATTTCATGAGACATTTATTCTTGCTACAAAGACCTGTACTGATTTTTACAGCATTCTTGGTACAGTGCATGGTGCTTAAAGGAGTAATCTGCAGTTATTAGTGTCAGTTTTTTTAATCTTTGGAGAATCATCATGATCTCAATCTTCCTATGCATCCTTCAGATTTATCAGTGAACACAGCCCTTCAATTATTAGACAAATGTTCTCCATGTAGCTATAAAATAAAACCAATAATCAATACAAGTCCATTGCCAAACATCCACTCTTTATATAGTAGCTATCTGCAAAATTAATACTTTTTATATAAACATTAAAGTTTTCTAATCATAAATATATGTAGAAAGAAACTATTCTCTATCAAAACGGAATGTTTCTAGGTAAACCCATCTGTATATGTATAAATATCTACACAGACTTCCTCTGAACAGTCCACTACAGTGATTTGGGAACACAAAAGTTAGCAAAAGAAAATAAAAATAAAAGGCAGATGAGGCATCTAGTATAACAAAAAACTCTGGGGCTAAATTGCTTGTGTTCAAATCAGCTACCGCATTTTATTGAAAAAGTGACTTTAAGTAAGTCACTTACCTTCTCCATAGCTACCAGATAAAGTAGTGGTGAGGATTAAGTGAATTATTACTTGTAGGAGTATTGTTTAGGGGCAGCAGAGGCAGCTCAGTGGTAGAGCATTTGCCTAGTATACACAAGGGCCTGGGTTTGATCCCCAGCACCATAAAAAAATGAAAAGACATTTTGATTAAAAGTTCATACAGCTTCACAATCTAACATTGACATTTTAAAATACTAATGAATAATGATAGAGGAAGCTAATCTTCTGAGCCAGTATTTCATATTTCAATTATATTTTTCAAAGACTCTATTATCTCTTAAGTTCAATACTTAACATTTTGGTGAAATCTAATTTTGTGTAGTTTATCTAATAACATTTAAACCGTTTGCAGGGGGAAAGGCTGTTATATGGCTGGGTTTTGACAGTTTGAAAGAGTATAAAATGTTTTTTCCCTTTAATTAGTTGCACAATAGCTGATACATCTTTTGAATAAAATTTATAATCTTTACCACATTACCAGACATTATCCAAAAAAAAAACCATAAATAAAGGAAACTTGTAATACTTCCAAGGAACTCTACTGACCCAGGTAGGATGTGAGCATCTCATTAACTTGTCTGCTTTACACTAGAGAGATTTAGCACATACAGCCCAAAAGAATTTCTCACAAAATAAAAACAGCTAAATTGATGACTTCATGTACCATGGGAAGATGGGTGTGCTTTGCAATTATTCAGTGTATAAGGTCATTTTCCAGAGATGTAGGGGCCATAAACTTGGCTCAGGCTGACTACCAGGAGTGCATGAGAAATCAAACAATGAACACACAACCAAACAAGTGGTCACATAAGGATGGAGATAATTGCCAGTAAGCAAAGAATCTGTTACTAACTCAAGATGCAAAGCAGAATTTGATAACAAAAAGTATCATGTTTGGAAAAACATTCATTAAATTAGTGAAAATATTAGTAGGCATTCTACAAAGTCCACAAGTTTCTAGACAATATGTAAGAATTAATGGAAAAGAAATAATCTACTTTCTACCAAAATGCTTGACTTTAGTGAAGTGCAGTAAAATCTCAAAATAATGGGAGCTGAAAAATAACAGGCCATCAGTTCCCAACTTTCCTATTTAATTAATGTCACAAATAGCAAAATTTTGCATTTACATACTTAAAATTTTTAGGCTTCACTTAAGTTATAATTTTATAACTTTACTGTGTGAATGAAAGTACAACAGAGGTTAATGCCTTTTACAGCCCTTTTTACTTTGTTTTGCTTCCTATTTGACATAAACTGATAGGGTAAAATAAAAACAAATTTTCTACTCTAAGCCCCACTTCCTGTGGAATTCATTTGAAAGTTTTGTTTGCTATTTGGTGTCTTAGCCATTGCTATCTTCAACACTGAGGATTATTGTTTCTATACCAGGCAATTGGTATTACAAGAACCTAACGTAAGATTTTTAAAGCAAGATTTATTTTTACATTTATATAATTCTGTCAATATGCCTTTACACACATAATCTTAAAACAGTTCTCACAATATTCTTCCAAATTTAGGATTTTTATCTCCATGTTTTAAAGAGGAAATTTCATGTGGAGAAATGTAAAATGTTGCCACCAAAGTTACAAATCTGTAAGAGACAGAATCAAGGTTCAAATTTGAACCTTCTTGGGTTCAAGTCCAAAGTTTTTCTTTATGTTATACCTATGCTCTTGGTATTCTTTTTACTAGCAAAAAGTTCAAATGATTACTTTCAGTGACTAGCTTTATAGTTGAAATTCCTGATTATTTTAACTTTTGAAATTTTGCAACTTTCAAATCAGCTATTACAATTTGACATTTAATTATCCAACACTGAACTTCATTCTCTTTTCCTGTTTACTAAGGTTCTTTAATCTCATTCAGAAGAGAAAAGATATACTGGTTCTCACACTGAAAGTTAGTACCCATGAGGTGGGCCAATTGTAGAAACCACTAATATATCTATAAAATCCACATTCTGATCCCTATTTTTATCCCCAGACTTCCTGTTAATTTTCCCGCAAAACTTACCCAATGAATGCAAATTTCAAAACAAAGTCAGAGGAGAAAACAATTACATTTCTCATGGCTATGATTCCCAAAACACACCAAATACAAAATAAAATGTAATTTGTAAAGAATTTTAATATTGCTAAAGTTTTAAATTTATTTTTATCAAAATAACTTCTCCAAAATTAAATAAGTCAAAGCTAAAATGCTTATAACTGAAAGGAGGATTTCCCTGTCCATACAATTACTCCCCAAAGGCAACAAGCCAACATTTCTTGATGTGTTTTTTAAAATGAGTCTTTCATTCCTAATTGTTGTATTTATGCTATTTTCTATTTTATGCACTTTAAAACTTATCTGCTGACTTCTTTGTGCTGGATATTATCTAAGATTATTATCCAACATAGTAAGATGCTCTCTTGAGTCTGCAGAGCATTCTCCCTCTGCCAGTTCTTCCAGTATATTTACCATAATATTCATTAAATAATCTGGTATTTACAACATTTCAACTATGCAAATGTTAAACACTACTAAATCTGTTATGCACTATGACTGAATTTCCTTTCTTAAAGAATTTTCTGATTTGTTAATTACTACAATCCCTATTCATTTGGTTAATTTTTAATGTAATGATCCCAAATTCTTCCCAATGATTCTACTGGTGTTTTTCCACATAAGCAAAGCCAAATATATACTCCATGAATTCCATTTTTCCCCCTTACTCAAGTTCCTCTTCCTTCCATACCGGTAGGATTCTAGAATGTTCTTCAGCTTTTGTCCTGACTTTATTTGAATTATTTTAATTTTTTGTATGTGTTTTTTAAATTTCACACACATATTCTCTAAATTTTCCCCCCTACAACCCCCACCTCTCTCTCTCTCTCGGTTTAGCAAGGCAAAAAATTCTAGGTTGGAATTGCTCCTGTAGTTTTTTTTTGGCTTCCAGAGTTACTTCTCAGATGTCCTGAGGTCAGTCTGATTTCAATTCTTTTCACAGAACCTGTTTATGCTTGTTAATTTGGTTAGCTTTAGTTTGTTTTCTCTTTCTGAAAGCTTTTTTAAGGTTTTGCATGTGACAACTCACTATGATTTGCTTCTGAGTGGATCTTTTTATATTTACCATGCTTGGCCATCATTTGGCACTGCCAACTTACAGGTGCTTGTTTTGGGGTGCTCATCATTTTCTGTATCATTTGAGAATTTCCTCCCTCTACTTTCTCTTATCTATTCCTTTGTTGTTTGTTCTTTGTCAACTTATTCTTGCAAACCTTCCATTAAGTTTGTCTCTCTTCTTTTATACTTTTAATTTCCATAAGTTCCTTTTTCATCTGAATCTTATTATATAGTGTCTTATTTTTGCTTTATGCGACATTTTTGGGTCATTGTTTTGGTTTTTTTGAAACAGGTCTTGCCATATAATTCAGGCTGGCCTTGAACTCATGATATAGCCCAGCCTGGCCTTAAATTTGTGGTGATCCTCCTGCCACAACCTCCAGAGTGCTAGGATTACAGGCTTGTGCCACCACACCCAGCTCTACAATTTACTGTTTTACTGACTCTGATGATACTAATGACAGCTTTTTAAAGTTTCCTTCTCCCTGTGTTGTTGATATTTCCACTGAGTTTCTTTTTTCTGTTTGCTTACCTTTGTCTGTTTTTTTTAAATTAAATTCTTTAATTGGTACATTTTAGGTATACAACACAATTACATTTCTCATTGGGAATTGTACCTTTACATAATGCATCTTGGTTCTTATTTTTTCCCCATTCCTAGTCCTCCCTTCACGCCCTCCACCCTTCCCTATTTACAAAGACTTTATTTCCATTTTTTCTATTTCTCATCATTTTTCCTTTCCGTTCTTTCCTTTGTCTGTTTTTTATACTGCAGGATTTCCTCAAACATGTAGACCTTGGCTATTCAAAATCAATACTCAAAATTATCTATTTAAAGTCAAGTAAGTAATAAATTTCTTGAAAGATCTGTGTTATGAATTGTCTAGATGTCCCTCCAAAGCCTCATACAGTCTTAGGTGGAGCTTTTTCAGAGTTGGCTAGATCTAGAGTGTGTGACATTAGGATTGATGCATGGTGCAATGCTTGGATCAAGGGGACTAGGATTAAGGGTGTGAGTGCTGCCCACCCTAAGTAGCCTGGTAAGATATAAGGGATAGAAAGAGTTGTGGTCGTCCCTTGTTGCTTTGCTACCTTCTGCTCCCCATGTACTGTTTCTCCTCTGCATGGCCTCTGCCATGCCGCCCTGTCTTGAAGCCAGTCAATTATGGACTGAAACTTCTACAAACTGTGGGCTAAACATTTCCTCCTTTAACCTTGGATGTATAGTATTTTGTCTCAGCAATGA